TTCTCACCGGTGAATACTGAAACAAAGTATTCATTAAGGACCTCCCCTACCTCCTCTGACTCCAGGCACATGTTCCCTCCACTATCCCTGATCAGCCCTACCCTGACTCTGGCCATCCTCTTGTTCCTCACCTAAGTATAGAATGCCTTGGGGTTTTGCTTAATCCGACTCACCCAGGCTTTTTCATGCCCCCTTCTAGCTCTCCTAAGTCCATTCTTCAGTTCCTTCCTGGCTACCTTGTAACCCTCTAGAGCCCTGTCCGATCCTTGTTTCCTCAACCTTAAGTAAGCTTCCTTCTTCCTCTTGAAGAGATGTTCCACATGTCTTGTCATCCAAGGTTACTTCAACTTACCATACTTTTCTTGGCTCAGTGGGACAAACCCATCCAGTACTTATAGCAAGTGCTCCCTAAACAACCTCCACATTTCTGTTGTCCATTTCCCTGAGAACACCTGTTCCCAATTTATGCTCCGCAGTTCCTGCCTAATAGCATTGTAATCCCCCCTCCCCCAATTAAATACTTTCCATGACAATAATAAAGGTCAGGGAGTTGTGATCACTATCACCGAAATGCACTCCCACTGAGAGATCTGACACCTGGCCTGTTTCATTGCTAAGCACCAAATCCAATATGGCCTCCACTCTCATTGGCCTATCTACATATTGAGTCAGAAATCCTTCCTGGAAATACCTGACAAAATCTGCTCCATCTAAACCATTTGCATTTAGGAGGTTCCAGTCTATATTAGTGAAGTTGAAGTCACCGATGACAACAACCCTATTATTTCTGCACATTTCCAAAATCTGCCTACTAATCTGTTCCGCAGTGTCTCTGTTGCTATTGGCGGGGTCTATAGAAAACTCCCAATAAAGTGACTGCTCCTTTCCTGTTTCTGATTTCCATCCATACTGACTCAGTGGAGAAACCCTTCTCGACAAACTCCCTTTCTGCAGCTGTGATACCATCCCTGATTAGTAATGCCACTCCTCCACCTCTTTTACGTCCCTCCCTCTTTCTTTTGAAACATCTAAACCCCAGAATATCCAACAACTATTCCTGCCCCTTTGATATCCAAGTCTCCATAATGGCCACAACATCATAGCTCCAAGTACTGATCCATGCTCTAAGTTCATCACCTTTATTCCTGACACTTCTTGCATTAAAATAGACACACTTCAACCCGTAACACTGATTGCAACATTGCCCTATCAACTGACTGTCCTTACTCACATACTCTCTGCATACTGCATCTGCCTGTACAACAGCTACCCCATCCTCTGATCCATATCTCCGGGTCCCATCCCCCTACCAAACGAGTTTCAACCCTCCCAAAGAGCTCTAGCAAACCTCCCGCCCAGGATATTGGTGCCCCTCCAGTTCAGGTGCAACCCGATCTTCTTGTACGGATCCCACTTTCCCCAATGATTCACATATCTGAAGCCCTCCCTCCTACACCAGTTCTGTAACCACATATTCAGTTGCACTCACTCTCTATTCCTAGCCTCACTAGCCCGTGGTACCAGTAGTAATCCTAAGATACTCCCTATATTCACTTTTCAGGTACTGATGTGTACCACGAATTCTGGCTGCTCACCCTCCCCCTTAAGAATCCTGTAGACTCAATCCAAGACATCCCTGACCCTGGCACCCAGGAAGCAATATACCATCCGGGAATTTTGTTCACGACCACAGAATCTCCTGTCTGTTCCCCTAACCATTGTATCTCCTATCATTACTATTCTCCTATTCTCCCCTACTTCCCTTCTGAACCACAGATCCAGGCTCAGTGCCAGAGACCTAGCCACCCTGTCTTTCCCCTGGTAGGTCATCCACCACCTCCCACCCCGCAACAGTGTCCAAAATGGTATACTTATTATTGAGGAGAACAACCACAGGGGATCCCTGCACTGTCTGCCTATTCCCTTTCCCTCTCCTGACGGCCACCCAGCTACCTTTATCCTACAATTTGGTGTGACTACCTCCTTATTACTACTCTCTATCACCCTCAGCCTCCTGAATGATCTGGGGTTCATCCAGTTCCCAGTTCCCTAACGCGGTCTGTGAGGAGCTGGAATTGGGTGCACTTCTCACAGGTGAAGTCAGCAGGGACACTAGTCATAGAATCATAGAATCCCTACAGTGTGGAAACAGCCCCTTCGGCCCAACAAGTCCACACCGACCCTTGGAACATCCCACCCAGACCCATCCCCCTATAACCCACCTAATCTACAGACCCCTGAACACTACGGGCAATTTAGCATGGCCAATCCACCTAACCTGCACATCTTTGGACTGTGGGAGGAAACCGAAGCACCCGGAGGAAACCCATGCAGACATGGCGAGAATGTGCAAACTCCACACAGACAGTCTCCCGAGGATGGAATTGAACCTGGGTCCCTGGCACTGTGAGGCAGCAGTGCTAACCACTAAGCCACAGTGCCACCCCTAGTGATGACCCTTACCTCCTACATCCTACCAGAGGAGCATGTAATTGCCCTAGATTCCATCCCCTCTAGATTGCCATGAAATAGAGGAAAAAAAAATGCCCACCTTACCAACCCTCCACACCGAGTCTTTTTTTTTGTTAGAGGAGGAGGATGGGTGGAAGACACTGCAGATGTAATGTTTCATGTTTAGCCACTGCCCGAATATAATAGTTCACTTACCCAGCAGTCCCCGTGTCCACATTTTCCCCTGCTCAACCTTCGCTCCACCTCTTCACAGGGCAAGTTTTCTGTACCGAAACCTTACCTTCCTGGCTGTCCCCTGGCTCGCGCTCTCATGAATCCTGCTGCTTGAACATATTACCAATTTTTCTGGCAATACTCCTTCCAGAGTGCATAATTCTTATTTCTCACCATCAAAGATTGACTTGCTTCTATGTCTCTGAAAACGTTAATTAATGTACCTACTCTTCTTGGTACCCAAAGTAAACCTTTCCCGTACAGATAACTTTTTAAAGCGATCTGGCACTTTCTTATAAACTAACCCCTGACCAGGCTGTACATTTTTTTGCAGCTCTTCATCTTCCACTCAGATCTCCTTTACCACTTTAATAAACCCCACCTGGTTATCCTGTTTTCCTACATCTGTTTTCACAGTGCTTTTTCAAACTACCAACACTGCGACTTCATGTGCCCTACTTTATTACAGTGAAAACACCTGAGGTGTTTTATTTCTCTTCTCCTCCTCATGGGTTTCCTTTTTAGCTTGTGGTAAACTATCTTTACTATCTTCAATGGAATTGCTTTTTCCCTTACTACCTGAGAATTTCTCTGATCCACAATTTCTGACCCTCACAGCTTGAAACGGATATCAGAAAACAAACTTTGATTTATGCACCAACTCATAATCATCTACCATTTCTGCTGCTAATTTTGCAGTTTTAACTGTCCGCTCTTCCTCACGAGTCCTCAATATTACAAGAAGTGAATTTCTGAACTCCTCCAAAATAACAGTCTCTATACGTCTCTATAGTCTCTATATGTCTGCTTCATTTTCAATGCTCTTATCCACATATCAAAGTTACTTTATTTGAGGCTTTCAAATTCGATGTACGTTTGAACATGTTCCCTCCTTAAATTTCTAAAACATTGTCTGTAGGCTTCCGGCACTAGTTCATTTGTACTTGAGATTTTTTTCACCTCATCATACTCTCAAGATACCTGACAAGGGCTCGATCTCCTCCGCTTTGGCACACTTTCGCCACACTGGCTCAATTTCCACTGCTCTGATCATTGCTGCAGATATTGGGGGAACTTCCATCACCGCGTTAGTCTTGCTTCTGGGATGGCAGTATCCCGATCCAGGCCATCAAAGTCCCAATCCAGGTGTTGTGCATGCTGGACCTGGACCACGCCTTCGGTCTGCATGCTGGGCATTGTGAACTCTGCCAAAGTTCCAGTCAGGCCCTCAGCCAATGCTTCGCACTGGACATCTAGCCAAACGCCAAATTTAATGAGCCCAATGCCACTGCTGCTGCTCTCCAGGAGGTAAATTTTAAAAAAAACTGAAACTAATAAAAAAATTGCTGGAATGATAAAGAGAAACAGAAAGGGAAAAAGATTTGACAGAGTGGACAAGCCTACTCCACCACCATCTTGCAGCATTCTGCAACTTTATAAGGCATTGATGAGGTCAGAACGGTCATTTAGAAGAAATATCCAAAATCACAATTGGTATTAGCAGCATAAATCTAGCAGGTTCCAAGGGGCAGAAGAAATGATGTTGATATTGGCAACTCTTTGCCAGCTCTGGACAGTTGATCTCATTCTAACATTTCTTACAACCATTCTGCACATTTAAACCTCAATTCCAAGTCTGCAAACACCTTATGATTGGTATGTCCTGTGTGTTATGATCCATCTGTACTGCTCGCAAAACAAAACTTTTCACTGTACTTCGGTCTGTGTGACAACAATAAATCAAATCAAATCAAACTGGAGTTCTAATCCAAATTTCTCATCATAATAACTTATTCTTGTAGTGCCACTGGTTCAATGTATTTAAAATCACCTTTAATGACACTTTGACATTCCCATTATTACAAAATCTACACCACCTACATGAGAAACTTAGAATCACTTTCTAAATAATCACTTTTGGATTCTTAATGAATATAGGCCTTATGAGTAATGTACACACACTTGAAAGAACAATAATAACAAGAAACAAAACAAATCCTCAGTAGCAGTTGAATAATTTCTCTTTTGACAAATCCTGCTTCAGAGTGGGAATTCATCAGTGACAATTCAGAATTATGTTGGTCAGAGATAATGAAATCTTCTTCGAGGGGAACGTTTTCACTCTTCAGTGTTAATTGTGTCAGTTGCTCGACTGGACTACACTTCCACTTCTGTACCACTGGGTCTTAAAATATATGGGCACAGCACAAATTCGAGGAAAAGTTTCTTCATTTATTACTGAAGAACACTTCTTACTGACTTTCCAATGAGAGAAAACTTGGGACATATTCTTCAATTCATGAATATTCGTCTTATCAAAGTATCTGTTCTTCAGTAAAGGCCAAATGAGCATAGAGGGTCTATAGAAGAAATCAGAAACCACTACCTTCAAAAAGGTGTAGAAACAGTGCATGGCAATTTAACACTTTTAGCTGATCCCACCTCTACCTCCTTCAGATAGATGACAGCTATCTCTATCTCCATGTAGCCGTAATTATTTCCCAATTGAGCATCGGCCTCAACAAAGAATAAAAAAAAGCGAGGAGATTCCATACATCCATTCCGTACATGTGTCACCTCTAAACTGCTTGACCTTATTTTAAGGTTGTGTCCTCTTGTTAAAGAGCCAGAACACCTCAATGCCAGTCTTGCCAGCATCAGCCACAACTGGAGTAAATAACATTTATATTACAATTACACGAGACAGATAAATTAGTAGAAACAAAGAACGAGACATGAAGAGAGAAAAGAAGGGACAGTACATGAAAATAAAGGGTTGATTTATAGAACATCATAACCTTGCAAACATTGTCCTGTCAGACCACCGAATGAGAAATGAAGTTCTCAAATTTTGCCACATTCTTATAAATTCACTGTTTTGGCCTAATGAAATGCTTTAAACTAACTAATCATCTAAACTAAATCTTGTCTTTGTCATCATTACATACAGGAGCAATCGTCAAATCTGTATGACGTGTTTTCAGAATATGAACATTCATCATTGCATGAAAGAATAATTCTTTAATTATATATAATCACTGATGTTAAATATCAAGGATTATATTTTTGGTTGTTTCATAGAATCCCTACAGTGTGAAAACAGGCCCTTTGGCCCAACAAGTCCACACCAACACTTAGAGCATCCCACCCAGACCCATCCCCCTAATCTACACATCCCTGAACACTACGGGCAATTTAGCATGGCCAATCCACCTAACCTACACATTTTTGGATTGTGGGAGGAAACCGAAGCACCCGGAGGAAACCCACGCAGTCACAGGGAAAATGTGCAAACTCCACGCATACAGATGCCCGAGGGTGGAATATGAACCCAGGTCCCTAGCGCTGTGGTAACCACTGAGGCACCGTGCCACCCCTAAAGTTGCATTCATTGCCACGAAAATGGTAAGCTGTGCCAAATTGCATTGTTCATTATTAAATGTTCAGTAAACTGCTGTTGCCAAAATCATTTCTCCTCAGCCTTTTATAAAATCAGGGAAAGGAAAGAATACGTTGAGAAAGGAAAAATAACAATTTTCATCCATTTACCTCCGGCTTTGTATCACGTGGTCTAAAATGTGTGGATTTCTTTTCCGTATTCCAGTTACCTGATGTAAAAAAACGGTCAGCTCTTTATTTAAAATAAGTTAGACTGATTGGGTTAATGAACATAAAGAATCAAAGGGCATAATAACACTCAGTCCAGGATATAGAGATGGATTTACAACACCAAAGGACACTTCCTACCTGAGTCAGAATTCCTGCAGCTCCAAACGACGGAGACAGTAAACATCATAACAAGAAGAATCAGTACCGATGAACTCCCATAAAATATTAAAAGGCAAGGAAATTCAGGTTGCTCTGAAGGAGGCAGAGATACTATTAAAAATCCACAACCTAACCATACTCCACTTGCAGACAGCTCACGGAGACCCATCAACGTCAATTCAAAATAGTTGAGGATTGTACTTCGATGTCAGTCTTGCCAGCGCGTGCCACAATTTACGTAAATAATATAATCCTTAAAATTACATCTCAACAGTTCTATCAGTGAAGCAATTTAGTATTTAAACATTTACAGTAGGTGTTTGCATTGTGGATTTTATATTAAACAACGAATTGTGGCACTTGAAACATCTTGGAAAACAAGTTACCCCGAATTTTCGGAATTCGATGCAAGTTTCATCTGTTGTACGCTTTTAACTCTGCAAGTGACTATGTTTCTTAACAAATACAGTGTTTAAATCGTTACTCTGCTCCTTAACTAACGTCAGAATTTACGTATTTTCACCACTTACATTGCGATTTACAATGACAATCAGAAGGGAGAAATGTTTTAGTTCTTTTTCAGTCGATTAAGGAGGCTACGTGTAATCTTGGAAAATCGGGATCTACGCAGGTGGACGAACAGTGATTTGGCGCTACGTGGACAAAAATAAAACTAAAAAGAAACATAAAGCCAAATGGTGATAAGGGAAACGTTAAAATTTACCGCAAGCACGGAATTACAAAGCAGAGAAATGATGGCGTACACTAGGGAAATGTTTTAATCAAACTTGGAGCATAATGAATAGACATGAGATTGATGTACAAAATGGAGATGGTGCAAACAACATTCTTAAGTATGCACGGAGGATAGAGATAATATTACCAAAAAGATATTTGGGAGGATTCTTCGGAGAAACAGTATTTTAAAGTTATTTTAATTTTAATTGCCAGTTGTGTTAAATTACATCTTTCCGAGATATTTCCAACAGAAGTTTACTGAATGTATGAAATACGAAAACCTATTCATATGAACTGAGGGAAATTAGTGAACTAGAATTTTAATCAGTAAAAGTTAAGACTCCTACTTACATTGTACTAATATAATACTACTACCATAAAGAAATGATTTGCTTCAACAGATTGTGATAAACATTCAGAATGATAAACTGCATAAGATTGAGTGTTTTGAAAGAAGTAAATGTCGGACGTGGATGCAAAGAAAGGGGGGAACTTTGAAGGTTAATGATCATATTGTTCACAATGAAGTCCTAAGTTAGCATTAAACATAAGCGTGAACTGATACTCAATCTTTACCTTTGTGATATGAGGCACTTTCACTGAGAATTGTAGTTGAGTTGAGTTGAACCCAGCAAGCACAGGTAATGCCATTCTTCCAAGCTTCTGCCGGGACTCTAATATGACTTCTGATACTATTTGCCCCGGCGGAGTCTATTGTCACAGAATCTCTCCAACTCTCGGCATTCCAAGTGGAAACATTCCAGTCGATGGTAAGGGTATCAGAAATCATGTTGCTCACTAAACACATCAGTGGGACAGTTTCCATAGAAAAGGTTTCATTCGGCGATGGGGATAAGAGAATTACGGTGGGAGTGCCTGATGAGATTGGGAGGTAATATTAAATTATTGTTCAACATTGCCGGTCATTGACAATGAATTCTGTAAATCTGTCTTTGCTCTTACCTGCTATGAGCAATATCGATCCCTTTCCGAATATGAAAGGGTGAAGGTGCGATTTCCTACCAGCACAGGAATACAGACCAGAATCATTTCTCTGGACATTGTGAATCACGAGCGTATAAGTAGTCGAATTGTCATTAATTTCTCCAGAAAATCTCCCAGCTACACCAGAGAGTGTCCTCACGATGTAAACGAGCTGCAGATTTTCTCGCACTTTCTGTGTATACCAGTGAACACCTCTCACAGCATACCAGCCCGTGTGACAGTTCACCCTTACAGTGCTTCCAACGTAGACACTCTGAAGTGCTGGAGTCTGCAGAAGAGCTGTCTGAGGAACGGCAGCTATGAATACAGGACATGTTAGAAGAAGTTTTCTTTGACTGAAAAAACGTGTGCTTAGCACAAGTTTAATGGTGTAAGTGAGGAAAGTACCATCTTTTCCTCAATGACCACGAATGGTAATGACGAATTTGGCTAACTTTGAGTCAATAGCAGGAGAAAGAAAGAGAGAAAGCAAGAAAGAGAGAAAAAAAGGGAGAAAAACAGAAAGAAAGCGAGAAAGAAAGAGGGAAAGCAAGAGAGAAAGAACGAAAGAGAGAAAGAAAGAGAAAGAAAGAACGAGTAAAAGAAAGCAAGAAAGAGAGAAAGAAAGGAAGAAAGACAGAAAAAATGTGAGAAAGAAAAAGAGAAAATGAGAAAGAGGGAAAGACAGAAAGAAAGAGAGATAGAAAGAGAGAAAGCAAGAAAGAGAAAGAAAGGGAGAAAGAAAGCGAGAAAGAAAGAGAGAAAGCGAGAAAGAAAGAGAAAGCGAGAAGAAAGAAAGAGAAAGAAAGCAAGAAAGAGAGAAAGAAGGAGAAAGAGAGTAAGAGAGAAAGACAGAAAGAGAGAGAAAGCGAGAAAGAAGGAAAGACGGAAAGAAAGAGAGAAATAGAGAAAGAAAGAGAGAAAGAAAGCGAGAAAGAAAGAGAGAAAGAAAGGAAGAAAGAAAGAAAGCGAGAAAGAAAGAGAGAAAGAAAGAAAGAAAGTGAGAAACAGAGAAAGAAAGAAAGAGAGAAAGAAAGCGAGCAAGAAAGAAAGAGAGAAAGAAAGAAGAAAAACTCCAATTCCTCACCACAAAACAAAGGTTATTGTATATAGCTACTTAATACTTCACTTTACTGGATTTCCCGTTGGTCCTATCCCTTGAAAATAAGAATGTCGAACCTGACAAAAGATTGGCCAGGGTACAGAGAGTCGCGATATTCATTCTCTGTGGGCGAAGTTCTCACTGTGAGACTTATACCGATTTGTTTGTGAAGCTCAAAGTTAAGGCATTATAAAGTTAAATGCACAGCTGTGGAAATTTTCTATTGCATTTAAAAATAGCCAGATGGAAAATACAGAATTGATGGTTTAATCTGTGGGTTTCCTGTTTACACGTTAAATGTCCACCCACAGATCTGTTTGCAAAGATCAATCGATCAACATGTAGTTTCTACTTTTTTTTCTCTCTTTCAATAATTTACCACTCTAAATGAGCATACTGCCTGCTTCATTCCCTCTCGGGTCTGGTCTTGCTCCTCATTAACTGTAAACTGTCCCTCATAGGGCACCCTGCTTCGTTTCAGAGCCAAAAGAACATAGCCAGTCCATAAAGCACCGCGTAAAAGTCAGTCCTAATGTCTGTGTCGCAAATGAGGTACACTTTCACGTACACATGAAAGGGTAGTCTTTTGGCTGAGATGTTAAACCTAGACATACGTTTGCTCTTTCAAGACATAGTGAGTATCACCAGTCCGACTTTATCAAAAGGTCCTGGTTGCTAGCCTGACTTTCTTGGGTAAAATTTCTCCACCCGCATCATTGCAAGAAAAACTCACTATTATTGCGTTATCCGTTGTTCGAGGTTGTTTCAGAATAAATCGTTTTCCTGTGCTTTACGTTAGAATAGTGGCGATATTTGAAATCTTACATCCTTGTTTGTAAGTTACTAAGACGTCTTCGCTGCATAAATAGATATCTGCTTTATCTAACAACAGTGTTTTCCTTCTTGCTGTTGTTAAACATTTATAACAACGTAACTGGATTCTCAAATTTAGTGATAATGTATAGTTGGATGTGAATACTCTGTTTTTGCTTACAGTCTTACAGTAAACGATATTAGTTACAAGAAACGGTCAATCGTTTATAATCTGGATTAAAAATTAGTAAATTACTTTATTGCTTATGACGGTTAAAGCATGTGTGTACAAGGATGTTTGTTTTTGTTACTCAGTTAATAAGCTTACTGTTGGTTACTGTGCAAAACGAAGAGGAATAATGTACTGTCCACCAGAACTTTACAGTTGCTTGTTAGATCGTGACAAATTGTGCGCAGGTATGAAATAACATAATAAGTCATGTTCATTCCATGTTTAATAAAATTACTCGATTGCTTCATTGACTATGTTTATGGGTGTCCATTGGTTATAACCTAGTGAATTCTTTAAAATCGACTTGATCATTGATACAGTCATAAATTTATTGTTTTATTGTTTTCAGCTTTATTTCATTTTTTTTGTAAAAGTGTTGTTGACCATTAACTTACAATTGAAAGTTAATACAGGAGCATACTTTTAATACTAATTATTCATTCTAATTGATGATCAGTTATCATTGATTCCTAAGGTGGGTTTGCTGGCAACATCCATGGTATAAAACTATGGTTAATTGCAAGTTTAACCTACAAGTACATATTCCATCATTTTCCTCCATATATTTCAAAGCCTTTTTTAAACAAGTGTCATGTTATCAATCCAATTGCACTCTTCGGAATTGCTGTGCACCCCTTGCACAAGCAACTGCAGATTTGTATCCCTGTCCCTGAATTAAAGTCGTAGAGTCATAAGGGTATACAGTATAGAAACAGGCTGTTCGGCCCAATTTGTCCATGCCACTCAGTTTTCACAATTAACCTAGTCCTATTTGCTTGCATTTGTTCCATGTCCCTTCATACTTATCCCGCCCATGTACCTGTCTAAATGTTTCTTAAATGACGCAATTGTATTTGCTCCCAGCATTACCTCTGGCAGAGATAGTAGGAACTGCAGATGCTGGAGAATCTGAGATAACAAGGTGTAGAGCTGGATGAACACAGCAGGCCAAAGGGCCTTCTTTTCGGAAGAAGGGTCTAGGCCCGAAACGTCAGCCTTCCTGCTCCTCTGATGCTGCTTGGCCTGCTGTATTCATCCAGCTGTACACCTTGTTATCTCATTACCTCTGGCAGCCTGTTCTAGACACTCACCACCCTCTGTGTGAAAAAAAAATGCCCCTCTCAACTCTTTTTTAACATTCCCCCTCATCTTAAACTTATGCCTTCTAGTTTCACGCTCCCCGACCATGGGGAAAAACTTTTGGCTATCTACCTTATCTATGCCTCTCATGACTTTATATACATCAACAAGGTCACCTCTTAGTTTCCTACTTTCCCGTGAAAGAAAGTCCCGGCGGATCCAACCTCTCCTTACAACGCAAACCTTCCAGTCAAGGAAGCATCCTATCAAATCTTTTTCTGCATCAACTGTTTCCAGTTCGATCCATTCCTTCTTAATTCACTTGAATAGTTTTCTATGTTTCTTACATTCACATGCTGGAAATACATGTGTTAAACACAATTGGTGATTAAAATCAAAATAAGTTTAAACCAGTGTTCTTCTGAAGAATCCTTCCAAATATTTCTTGATAATAATATCACCATATGGTCCTGTCCTCTCATGCTATTCTCCCATAGGCACTTAAAAATGCTCTTTGCACCATCTCCAATGCACAGAATATCTATTCATTTTTCCTCTCTCTCTTTTGCACTTCTTAAAATACGGAATGACGTGCAACTTTCCAATCCCAAGGGATAATGCCGATATCTAAGGAACACTGAATGCCACCATCATTGTAGGCCAGATAGCAAACAATGACCAGACAGAATATAGAAAAGAGACAGAGTGTTTGATGGTGGCATGTAAAGATAACTATCTCTCCCTCAACGTCAGCAAAACGAAAGAGCTGCTCATTAACTTCAGGAAGCAAGGCAGAGGTAATGCCTCTATCTACATTAATGGAGCTGAGCTGCAGATGGTCAAGGGTGTCAAGTTCCTAGGAGTGATGATCACCTACAATCTGTATTGGACCACCCACGTTGATGCGACGGTCTAAAAGGCACAACACTCAGGAGGCTAAGGAATTTGGCATGTCCATAAAGACTCTTTCCAATCTTTATATATGCAACATAGAAAGCATTATATCTGGATGCTTCATAGTTTGGTATGGCAACTGCTCTGCCCAGGTCTGTGAGAAACTACAGAGTTGTGAACACAGCCCAGTCCATCACACAAGCCAACTTTCTATCAATTAACTCCATCTCTGCTTCTTGCGACTTCGGAAAGGCAGCCAACATAATCAAAGACCCCTCCCACTTCTGAACGGACCTGTCAAACTTTAAATTTAACGCTGATCTCACTCTTTGTGCACCTTCTCTGTAGCCGTAACATTGCATTCCTTGCTCTGTTCTATTACCCCAATGAACTTTGTATGTATGATTTGCACAAGTTTTGAATTTAATCGAGAGTATGTGTGTCAGGGTGTAATATAATTGAGGGCAACCTTTGTGAGATGTGATGAACTGAGTCAGACTGGCCCTCTGTAAAACCATGGGAGAGGCACAACAGTGTGGCAGTATGATTGTGTACTCACATACTTACGTTTTTGTGATGGAGTGTGTGTGTGTGTGTGTGTGTGTGTGTGTGTGTGTGTGTGTGTGTGTGTGTGTGTACGTGTGTACACCTTCCGGCCTTAAGGACATATTTGTATAGGAGAGTGAGGCAGTATGCCTTGGTGTTAAGATGTGAGATAGAGAATACTTGCATGTATGTGTATGAATGGGAGTGAGAGTGTGGATACGAGTGTGAAAGAAAAAGGATGTTTCTCCGGAAGAATGACTTGAGAGAGTTCTTTATGAGTGGGTGGATGAAAGAAGGAGTCTGTGTGTGCATGTGTGTGTTTGCAGGCATTATGAGAGTGTGCGAGTTGAGGGAATGAAGTGTGAGAGAGAGACAGTTTGTGAATGCAATGAGTGATTAAATCAGACACAAACCATCTTCTTCCCAAAAATAATTAACTGCAAAGTGGGCTGTGGGAGGAGGAAAAGCCAGACAGCCTGCTCCTCATCCCAATTTTGAATGAATTCTACCTGCACAAGCTTGAATAATGCACTACGAGATAAGAAAACAACATCAGTGCTAGTTAAACCTTGTTTCTCAGCTCAGTCTACATGCCTGTCCTTAGTGACCTGTCATTCTGTCCTTTTTTTAATGTCTGGCTGCCAATCATAGACTTTCCCCCCCATTTTATATTGTTTGTTATTTTAAACGTTCTGAAATCAGAAATCTGTAATTTGTTCCTTCTTCATTGTTTGTTGGGAGAATCAATTTCTTTCCTTTTCTCATTCACAGATTAGATTCCACGAGGATCAGAAATAAATGGGAAATTAGGTTGTTTTACAAAATGCATTGGGATCTGGTGAAAAGGTAAAGTTACTATCATTCTAATGGGCCATAATGCAGTATTCTCTCATTAACCAGAGATGTCTGGTGATAGATCAACCTGAGTGTCCACTCCTCAATTGAACAGAAAGGTTGAGGAGAATTTTTCAATTGAAGCTCAGACAGTGTGGGAATCAAACCCAAGCTATTTGCATTTCTCTGTATTGTAAAGCAGGCATCTAGATACTAACCTAAATGAGATTAACTGAATTATAATGGAGTTCAGTGATACAATGTCTGGAATCTGCATATATATTAGATTTGCTTGCCAAGGCAAGATGTTATGGACCAAACCAAACTCCTTCACAATAGTTTAAGAAGGTAACCCAGACCCTAACTATTTACGTATGAAGTCCTAGTTCCAGATGTGATGCAACTGGTCAAACCACATGATGCTAAGCAAAACACAATTTATTTATACACTATAGTTAAAATATAAACAAATTAAAGAGGAATTTAGAATAACTTACTAATGGAAAACTTAACTGAATAGCAGATACAATACTTATTACTGATTAACTGTTCCAATGTAGTAACATCCCATAAACATACCTCTTGGCAAAAAGGTAAATTCAGACACAGATTCTTATGTGCAGTTTCCCAATCCAGGAGAGAACAACATCAAGAGAGACTTCAGAGGAAGTCACAGTTAGGAATCATTTACTGAAGTTTGCAACACTTTTGGGACCCAAAC